AGAGACAAGTTCCGGCATTACAAGTCACTATCACAAATTAGATAGCTTTCACCATACCTCTTATGTAACAAAATTTACGACAAAGTGCAGTAAAATGTATTCAGAGTCTAAATTTAATAAAGTATAGTGAATTTGGCTTGGTCGCAGGTTTAAAAAAAAAAAAAAAAAAATGTTAACTTATTTATAGTAATTATTTAATTTATATCAAAAAAAATTTTTAAATTAATATATTTATTAAACAATATTAAGCAGCTATAAATATCTACTTAAAGTTAAAAAAATTAAATTATAATATTTAAAAATAAAATTAAAAATATATAAAAAATAGTTAAATTTGTTTTAAATAAATGATTTGATAATAAAAAATAGAATATTTATTATAAGATTGTTTTTTTAAGAAAATATCAGTTTTTTAAATAAAATTATAAAAAATGATTAAAGTTTTAATCAATATTCTAAATCAGGTAATACAATTAGAAATTAAGTGAATATTAAATATAATTTAATATATCAATTTGATTGTTTGTTATATTATAAATATAAATAGAAAGTTATTATATAAAGTTAAAAATTTTTATTATTTGTTTGACTTTTTTATTAATTAATAAGTAATTAAATATCTATATATAATATTCTTAGTATAAAAATTATATACAAAACAATAGAGATTAATATTGCAAATTCTTTTAATTAATATATATAATTTAATATTTCAGCTTATAGTATTATATTTTTTATAGATATTTTATTTTATTTATATTTATATATTTAATTTTTATATTAACAATGTATTAATTAAAATATAGTTTATAGAAGAATTTTCAAAATTATTCAAAATTCCTAATAATAATTTGATTCTGAATATAATTAGATTATTATTTAATAAAAATATATTAATTGAAAAATATTATATATATGAGAGTTATTATTAATATTGAATTTTTAATTATTATAAATATATGTATTCATTGAATATAATAATTTTGAATTATATAAGGCAGTTCTTAATATCAAATCTATTAATATTAATAACAAGATTATATATATTATTGAATTAAAGTATTTTTTTAAAACTTAATTTCTTTTATATAATTTTTTATTTAAAATTAAAATAATATAACAAATAAATTATTATTTATAAATATTAATTGAAATAAAAATTTATTTTAATATTTTGATATAATATTCAAACTTAATTTTAATATTGTTAATAATAATGTTTATTAGTTTTTTAAAACAATAATTAATTAATTATTTTATTTTTATTATTAAAATTTTTATTTAAAATCATTTTAAATAATTTTTTTATATTTATAATTGTTTAATATTATTTTTTACTATTATTTTTATTTAAAAAATTTTTTTTTACATAAGTAAACCAATTTTTATAAAATAAATTTATATAAAAAAATATTGTTTTTATTAAAATATACAAATATTATAAGTAAATATATATATTAAAAAGAGTATACAATTATATAAATATATTTACAAAGGTTTAATTTGTAATTATAAATTAATTTTAATTATATAATAAATTTCAAATAATAAAAATTAATATTTATTATAAAAATTAATAATGTTTAAAAAATCATTTTAAATAAACTTTTTTTAATAAATAAATTATCATATTCATTGTAATATTTTGCTAATAAATATAATGGAATTATTAAATAAATAAATTTATTCTTATCAAGTACATTCAAGATCTATCATTTTTTTTTAAAAAAATAAATACTGTATATTTATTTGTATTTATTATAATTTTTTTTATTTCCATATAAATTTTAATATCTAAATCGATTTAAGTATCTAATAAACAATTAATAATGACTATTTATTAATATAATTAAAGTATTTTTAATTAAGAACTTATAGTACATGTAAATATTACGTATATTAATTTACAATATTTGAAAACCAAAAAATTAATTAAAAATTTAAATTAACGTAAATTATATTTATTACAATAAATGGATTATTTTATACAACATACAGTACGTACTCTTTCAGGTGAGTTTTTGGTCATTTTAAATTAGATATGATTTTTAACAAGATGTTAATTCTAAAAACAATAAACAACAATTAGAGGTCGACTCGTTTGGTGCCAAACAGAGTTCAGGATTCAGTTGCAGAGAAGACAAAGGCACACATCGTGTGTACTGTACAAACATTGTATGGTGGGATTGACGAATAAAAAGAATGCAGTACAGGTAAACAACTATTCGGTAAACAAATATTTGGTCGAACGTATAATCGATGGTTTGCAGATTATATTGAAAATGAATTAGGCAAATACGTAGCATCATGACTTTGTTCTTGTAAACCAATCTGAACTTAACCCCCACTAATGTATCTCATCATATCACTTTCAAATCCGTTCGAAACAAGTTTATTCCGGAAAATAAGTGCAGAATCTTTATCAATGATAAGCTTATTTATCGAATTTGTCATCACCGTTAAATAAAGTTTTCAACAGGTTCTACGAGAGAACAAGAAAGAATTTTTACGAACACAATCAAAGAACATAAAAACGGATATATTACCGTTCCAAACACAGTCATATTCGATGTGCACATGATCAGCACCCTTCATGCATGGAAAACGAAACCCGGTCATTATCCGACTGAGATTGAGCTTGTAATACTTCCCGAGCTGCGCAGAGAAGACACAATTGTTGGATAATATAAAATATCGTAACTATTATGTTCGTAATCATGAGACACAATCTTTATTCGAATTTCTTTGTTATTACGTAAACTCCATGTGTCTAAGCTGCGCCATAGATGTTACAAGGAAAAAGGATTATGTCGCTGTTATATAACGGAAACCAATCAAAAATTTTCTTCCAAAGATTAAGAGATAAAAGTTTGTTTGCGTTTTCCACACTTTCTTTGTGTCTTATATAAAACGAGAATCCTTAAATTTTTATAAATATCAATTTTAACTCTAAACTCCGATGTGATTTTATATTGATCTTAATTATTTTCTATATCCTGTAAAGGATTAATGATCAAACAAGATTGTAGCTTGATAAAGTTATTATTAAAATCGGTCACCAATCAATTCCGCCATAGGAACGCCTTTTTCCCGCCATTTTAAATGCGTTTAATATTACACCAATGATGATTAATAACTTTCATAGTCAAATTAAATTAGTTGATCACCGAACCAACCTAAAAAAAATTTTTTCCCTCCAAAACTTTATATTACGTTACTCAAATAAAAAAAATCGAACACTTAATATTTTTTTCGTTTTTTCTATGACAAAGGCACCCTTTGTTATAAACAACTAAATGAAACCGTGTGATCAGTGACTTAAAACGTCGACTCAGGTCCGACCGAGCCTTCATATATGATATGAATAGTTGTGATATTAAGAAATTAGGTGCCCTTTATGTGAACCCCTTTTTCCAAAACAAGATATCTTGCACGTCTCTATCTAACGTTAACTGCAGGTCTACACGAAAAGCATCATTTGACAATCTGAAACAGGTTCTTTACCGCATCTTATTTACCGGACACACAAGCCATTGGTCATTAGCGCCTAAGAGTATGTTGGCAATAATTAGCGTCTAGAAGGATGATCAACACGCCGTAACGCAAACTTAATATTGCTTGAAGTAAATTTTCGTTGCATCTATCGTCAACACGCCATCTGTAAAAATCAAGTCAATTTAGGATAAATTTGGTCTTCTATAATTGTGGTCGCACCGTTCTAATTCATTGTGCGTGCTTGTAAATTGAGTTTCATCAATGCGCCTAGAAAGTGGCATTTCCTTAATAAATTCGATGCAAGGCATTAATTAAATAATACATTCTCTCAATGCAGCAAGACGAGGTCATGGAATAAAAAAAATTTTTTTTTTTGCGTAACAGGGAAAACATTTTGACCTCGGTACGAGAGGTAAGTGCTGCCATACTTTAGGGATGAATGGAACGTGATACCCCGGACATGGCTAACTTGCCTGAAGAGGAAAATTGACGAATCAAAAGGTCATTGTGTGTTTTACTGCAAGCGGAAATTACGTGAATGCAAACACAGGCCCTGATGTGTTTATCGCGTGGATACAATTATTCAAGAAATCTTCTTGTCATCCATATTAGTAATTTACAATTGATATGCTATCTGGATGATGATGTTATATGATGATAGATATCGAGAAAATTGAGAATGACCCCTGAATTTTCTAGAAATTCATTTCACCGAGTTGCAACCTCTGCTTATTTCAAATTTGACTAGTACGAAACAAGAAACAAAATTGGAAATGTGTAAAATGTACAACTTATGATTATGTTTTGAAAATTTGACATTACATTAAAAATAAAGAAGGTAAACATAAATAAAAATATTTTTACAATATTTTACAATTATCGCGAGTTTATATTCTATAGTTTATCCTTGATTATTATGGAAACCATCACCAAGTGTAATATCGAATAGGTTCAAGTTGTGCTGATACGCGCGTTCAATTACCTTTGAAAACATTGTTGTGCAAGCATTCGAACAATATAAACAAATAAATGTTCTATTATAAAGATCACCAGGAAAAAAAAAATGCAATGTTATACGAGATTTATAATTTAAATATGAACCTTTTAATATTGGAAAAGAAAATTATGCATACAATGAATAACATAAAAACACAGTTCAGAAGCCATAGGAAGTTAGCGTGCGAATTGACAAATTGATGTAACATCAAAGAATCAATGAACGACCAATCCAATTTTTTTACGTTTTTTTTTTTTTTTTTATTCGGATTTATCACATACTCAAAGTTTATGTGCGCTCAATCAAAAGTGCATGCCATGTGTTGAACGTCATTTTTCTGTTTGTCACGTATAACTTAAACTACGTAAAAGATTTCCATTCTTGTGGATCCTGATACAATAAGTTCCACGCCTCTAAGCGAGTGTAACAGCGGAATATTATTGTTCAATCACAATTTGCGCGTGCGTATGAGCAATTGTTCGCAATAAGCAATTTCTTTGCCGTTACCGAGTATAGGCTAGTATTATTAAATGATGTTGTTACATTTTTCGCTGTAATTCCCAAAAATATGCAAAAACTCTGTCATATGTGGAGTCTGAAATTTTGAACAATGAAAAAAATGTAATATAACTAAAATTCAGGGGCATTAGTTTTTAGAAATCAGTCCTATTGTCATAATATGCTACGTCAATTGGTATAATAAGATGGTCGTAAAATTCCAACAATTTAAGCGTCGGCTATTATCACATTTTTCAAGACGCGAAGATCAAAAAATTATGATTTGTCATTGGTTGATAATATACTATCGGTAAAATTAAAATATACTGCATAAATTTAATAAAATAATAACTAGTTATAACCTGATAACTTAAAATAATATATATATATTTAATATATATACCGTATATACAGTTTGTATATAAAGAAATATTATTATTATTAAATAATTTTTCAAGAACGTCAGACGAATAAAATAAGTTTAAAATGATCCATGAGATATATAAATTAAGTTGATAACGTATAATAAAGAAACGTAATAAGTATAAGTAATATAAGAATTTTTTTTCGAAAAATTATAATTTTTATAATAATATTTAAGAATATTTGTTATTTAATAATATAATTGACTTTTATAATAGAAGCATTTAATAAAAAACTTTACAATAAAAAAAAAACTTACATTTTTAATAAAATTTAATAAAAACATAATAATTTTAAAATTTTAAAATTGAAAAAAAATATATAATATATATATGAAAATACCTATAAATTTATAATATAATAATAATATTTTATAAATTATTAGATAAAAATTTAAAGTTTAAATGTACTAAATCTTAATTAAACTATATAAAGATAAGACTTTTAATTTTTCTAATAATTGTAAAATTATAATAAATTACAATAAGAAAATTATATAAAAAAATTTTCTAATCTAATTTTAGTTAAACTTTAAAGTTATATCATAAAAAAATAATATCATATTTATATATAAATTAAATTATATTTTATCATAACTAATTCTAATAATATATATTAAATTTAAATTTAAATGTTTTTTAAAAATTATATTTAATTAAAAGTTATATTATTAATTAAAATTTTTTATAATAATATAAAAATACTATATATATAATTCTAATTAATATTTTTTAAATAATAATTAGAACTTTGATTTAAAATATTTTAATTCAGTATAAAACTTATTTGCTATAAATAGTAAAAAAAATTATAATTTATATAAACCTGTTATTTAATATAAATTATAATTTAAATAAATTTATAATTAGAGCCACTTATTATCAAAAACAATAAACAATATATATATTAATATTAATAATACAAAAGATATAAAAAAAGAATACAAGGAATTAATAAAACTCAAATTATAATATCAGATTAAAAAAGATTTAAAAAAATAAAAAAACAATTTATAATTAAAAAATAATAAATATTTATACAAATAATTCATTTAATAAATATATTAATAAGCAAATAAATATAAATATAAAAAAGATAATTATTAATAAGAATTACAATTACAAATTGAATTTAAAGGCAAATACAAATAATTTTCATTATTAACAAAAATAAAATTTTTAACAATCCTTACAGTACTAATACTTATAAATATAAATACAATAGTAATAATATATATAGATAATCAAAATATAATATAAGCAATACAATTTAAATTTTTAAAAAAAAAGAATAATAAAAGAAATAAACCTACTTATAACTAGGGTTCTTAATAATATTACTTTAATATCATTTTAATATTAGTTTGATACTTGGTTTTATTATAAATTTATATAAATAAATTATAACTCATATATTAAATTTATTATAAATTAATATTATTTCAATACTACTTCAATATCACTTTGATACTTTTTAGAACCTTATATATAATAGTTCTTATAATTGACAAAATTAAATTCAAGAAAGCAATAACAAATTTTAAAAAATTAAAACATATATATATAAAGACAATAATAATAAAAAAGTAAATAAATTAAAGAGTATTAGATTATAAATAAATAATTGAAATTGAAAGTCAATAAATTATTAATCTTATCTATATACTTAATAAAACAGAAAGAATTTAAACATTTGTATTAGTGAATTTATAAAATAATAGATAAATCAGTATATAAATCATATAAAAAAAATATAAGACATAGCTCAAAAAAAGTATTAATAAAGAAATAGATTAAAAAAAATATTTTTTAGTTTATCAATATTAAAAATTATTAGTTTTGATATTAATTAATATAATTATAACAGTAAAACATTCAAATACAAACTTTTTAATAATAAATTACTAATAAAAAACAAGTTGAGTACAAAAAAATCTAATTTTTATATAAATAAAAAATATTTTTGATACAATTAACAGAAAACTATAAAATATGTTTTTAGAAAATACTATGTTAATTAAGTTAGATTAAAATTTTTAAATATTTTGAAAAAAGAAATATCAAACAAAATAGAGAATAAAAGAAAAAAACTCAATTAACAAAATCAACTAGAACAGATTGTAAACAAATTAAAAAAAACCTTAGATATATAATTAAAATTATCTTTAGTAAAGACTTAATTCATCTAGTAAAATAGATAATAAAATAAAGACAAATAATATAATTAAAAAAATAATATATAGAATAATAAAAGCATTATATAAAATCTGAAT